ATGTGTTTTGACTTTCTTTCTGCACTCAGCACCACTTACACCCTGCACACTGCCCTCTGCTGTGCAAGCTTCATTATTACAACTTTAGTCTTTGTTCTGCCCTATGTTTTGTCTTCTATGTGTTGCCGATCTAAAAATAAAATAAAATAAAAAAATTACAAATAAATAAAAACAAACAAAACAAACAAAAAACTGAACTCAGATGATCGGGAGATGTAAAATAGGTTCCTCTTTTCGTACAGTTGCCTGAGGACCTGCAGACTGAAATAATCCAGATTTGAGCAAGAACATTACTGCTCAAGTCCAGGAAATGGGTGTAGTAGGTGCTCAGTGCCATCCTTAGTTATATACATGTGTATATCAATAAACACCATCAAAAAAAGATGCTACGTTTCATGCTACAAATTAGAATTAGATTTTATATTTTAGTTAGTAGTCACAATTCACAATTTTAAGTTAGTAAGCTATGCTTTCAGCCACGCTGCATGTCATACATGGAAAACAAACTCTTTGTTATAATTATTTAGCACACTTTATTTTACCTTTACCCTCTTAAACATATGCAGCAGCAAAATGATTTGCGTGGCAAAGTTTGTGTATGACTGTTCACAGCTGTTTTACAGCAATGACAGAGCTATATCTTTTTTAGTGTGTTGGTTTGAATCCATGTCGCATTAAGTTATGAAAGAACCAGATGGGATTTTCCTACCTGCCCTTTTTTTGTTTTTTGTTCTTTGTTTGTGGTCTCATCAAAAAGTTCTGCAATTCAATTGACAAAAGGCAAATTAACAAAAAACAAAGATCTAAAAACAAACAAACAAACAAAAAAATACAACAACAAAAAAACCCCCCAAAAACTGTACCCCAGCAATACTTGGCTGAAGTCCCCTTCAAGATCATCTCCTTGATCTTTGCTTTCCAAAAGTTTGATGTTCATTATGAAATTAGGCAGTCATGCTTGAAGTGATCCAGATGTGCACAGGGAGATTACACTGAAGGGGAGATTGGCCATATTTTAATCTAATTTGAGTTTTTCTGTGGACTCTTGGAACCTTTTTTTATTTTTTTAAAAAAATCATACTTTCTGATCAAAGAGAATATTTAATAATTTTTCTAATTATAACTCACGATTTTTGTATGTTTGTAGGATGAATACAAACGTTCATTTGAAAACTGCAAAAACATAAAACTGAACAGTACAATAAGTTATGATTCTCATTGACTTGATAAAACATTCCTGAGCAAAAAAAAAAAAAAAAAAAAAAAAAAAAAGTATACTGGTATAGATTATTCTTTTTTAATTTGTCTTTACTAGAAATGTCTAATGGCTGACTTACAGTAATTCTGGCAACAGGTTGATGATATTAGTACTAAGGACCTGGGAGTTTGACCCCCACAATAACCAAAAATTAAAAGACAAAAAAAGAAAAAAAAAAAA